ATCTGAGAGCCAATAAGATTTTTTTAGATTTCAAACATTTTCATAAACTCCTCAAAGCTCCTGCCCTCGGCCTCAATGCTGAGGACATTCCTGCCCCACCATAAGAAAGAAATGGTATGCACACTGCCAACACCTTTGGCAACTGCAAACTATTCCTGCCTTCAGGCCACTGTTCATACTCTGCTTCACTGAAAGGTAGCAATTGACATGGACAATGACTTCACCAGAATTCTTGAAAAACAAGATGTAAGCATTATCAAACAAAATTGTTCCTCGTGCCTTTTTACAGGGTCTGTCATCTGGCCTGTTCAGGATACCCAGGGCCTGCCACTGGCCAGAGTGGGACTCACATCCACATGGTACACTTGCCTTGGCATTAAATGGGTAAATTTGAGTAGGGCATTCCAGATCCAATCTGAATATCTAGTCATTTCTGTTAGCAAAGAGACTCCATAGAGCTAGACCATTGAGAACCAAAAACCACAGAGGGTTCTCACACAAGGAAGGTGTCCTAGCAATATTCTAGAGGGACATCGGGACCAAATCACTCTCAGGTACACCCCAGGGTCATCTACTAAGCCTGAGCCACAATGTCCTGGTGCTCAGTAGCTGGGCTTAGGAGAAGAGTCCCCCAACTGCTGAGCAGCTCTGATTCCCACCTCATCCTTTGGGTGCTTTGGCACAGGCACTGGAACTTGCCTCATCAGAACCACTGCTCCCGCTGCAGGGTCTGGGTACATCCACCTGAGGCTGGTCATTCTCAAGTTACAACAAGATGATGTTACACTTGGTCTAGTCTGGTGGCCAGCCTCAACTTGCCTACAGCCAACCATAAATTGAGTTATCCCTGGCCAAAAAAATTGCAAAATTCCCAGAATATCAAGGCCTAAGACCTGCACATCTTGTGTCCCATTTGCCAGCATCCCTCCCTCATCCTTGGTCTCAGTCCAGTGCCTTTCCTGCACCGCTGCCACTCTCCAGGGACCCACACAGAGCTGCTCACCATGGCAGTCATGCTGCTCTTCAAGTGGAACATTCTGACTATGATGTAAATATGCTCTTTATAGAGGTGAGCCTAGGTGTCGCCGAGTTAGTGTTGGCCTTGTCTGCGGGCAGAGCTGCCTCTCAGAGGGGGAGCCAAGGCAAACAACACCAGGGCACTTGCTCTGTGCCAGAAGATGCTTCGCCCACTGCACTTTGAACATTCAGCTGTACTCAACAAAAAAGATCCTCATTTTCTACTGTACACAGCTTTGGAGCCTTCACTAATTCTGACTTAAAATGTGCCTGGTTGAAAATATCTATTAATAGGTGTGTGTGTGTGTGTGTGAGTGTGTGTGTGTGTGTGTGTGTGTATGTATGTATGTATGTATGTATTAAAATATACTTGGTTTTGGAAACTTAAGAGCAAACAGCACGTATGTCTCAAGTAAGGGGTTAGACCACTCTAACATATCAAGCTTGTATCTAAGGAGAGGGAGACTTCACCTAGCCCCTGGACTGAGATCCACAGGAGGACTAGTGTTCTTTCTCTGGGTTACAGCAGTAAAAGCTGAGGCTCACTGAGAAACCTGCCTAAAGTCACAGTGTGAAAAAAGCCTCTAAGATCTGACCCTAGTGCTCCCCAACACCACATCAGTAGTCTTTCCCCAGCCCCAGATCCTTTATCCAAATTTGGATGCTCTGCTTGGCTCTCTGTGTCATTATCCAAGCACAATGATGAGAGATTTGTCACCGACTTATTTAGATGTTACAGTATTGACTTCTCTGTGCAGCACAGAGAGCCAGGGCACCATCCCTATTGCATAAGGAATTCTCATCACAGCAGGGTGCTGGTGCCACGCTTTCAATGCAGTCTATATCACTTGTTTATGCTGACAGATTTGCCTCTTACTTTTGTTATAAGGGGGATGTGTTGAGTATGGGAGATATGGTGGAGGGTTTCTGTGAGCCTCAGCTCTTTAAAGAAGCTGGTGGCCTGAGTGCTGTGCAGGCCGACAAGGCCATCTACATCAATTCAAACTACTTTCCAATCCTAGACGACCTTGCACAATGACCAGATTTGTCACATATACACAAAGAAAACTTTCAACATAAGACACCAAAATAGTTGCATGGACACAGTAAGTAAATGTAGGGAAAAATAGAACCCAAATTATCAAAAGACAAAACTAGAAGGGCTTAATAACCTGACAGATACAGTCCTCAGGATGCCAAGCCCAAAGCCAGGTCTCCATTTTCCAGGTCACTCTGATTGGGGAGAAAGAAAGCTGCATCCCGCCTAGACCATCTGAGGTCTCAGGCCACCCTGACTGCATGGGCCATGTTGCCTTAGGGTGTTTCCCAAGGTCTCTGGGCTCTGATTTCCTCACCTATAAAAGGGGAGACTACAAACACCTATCAGGATCATGGGAAGGATCAGCAGTGGAAATACCCAAGCAACTGCAATAGACTGGGGCTAACAGCAAAAGGTAGGCATAGGTTCCAGACAAGCCTTTCTTAGAGTGAGGTGTTCTTACCTGGGCCTTAAGGGTCAACTTAACCTTCTGAAACGTTTTCAAAAGTTGTAGAAGCCTGAATTTTTCTTCCAATAAATTTATTGTGTGTGTATGAATGTGTATGTGTATGTTACATTTATTTGTATTTGTATGTATATATATGTGCCTGTGTGTGAGAGATATTTGTATGTATTTGTATATGTGGGTGTGCATGTGTGAGTACCATGGCATGCATGTGGTAGTCAGAATACATCCTTGGGTGCTGGTCCTTACCTAACACTCTGCCTAAGACAGGGTCTCTATTGTCTGTCACTGTGTAAGCCAGGCTAGCTGGCCTACAAGATTGAGGGGCGCTATGATACTACTTTGCACAGGTTCTGGGGACTGAACTCAGGTCCACACTGCACAACAAGCTCTTTTCCTCTTGAGCCATCTCCCAGGCCTTTCTAAAAACGGTTACTACTTAAGAGATTTACTACTAAAGACCTCAAATCCTTCTAAAATATTTGTCAAAACAAAACAAAACCAGTGTCCATTTTTAAGAATGCCAGAGGCAAAACTGAACTGTAGAAGGCAGCACAGATTGGTAACTATGAGACAAACCTTCCAGTGGTTTCCAAAGCCTACTTGCACGGTACCCCCTTCAAGAACAGCCTTTATATCTGGCCATGCCCCAAGAGCTGGGTGGTTATGCAGGAAGAGCCCTAGCTGCTGGCTTTGGTGAGTGTAAGTTATGTTGTCTTCCTTGCCTTCCATCTCCTACCACGGCACTCTCACTAAGTGGCCCCATCCCACTGACCTGGTGGAAAGCTGAGAGGCCTCCCACGCCACCGGCGCTTTGCTCCAGCTGTCAAGGACAGACTCTCATTCTGTCTCAGTCCCTGGGGCTTGGGCCAAACATAATGAAAACCTTTTTCTCCTCCCTGAATGTTCTTCCTGAAGATCTGGCCTCCCCTTCCCCAGGATAGAAACTGGGGCCTAGCAAAAGCAGGAAGTTGCATCAGGGAATAAAGGAAGGGAGAAGAGGGAGGAGGGAGGGAGGAAGAAAAAGAAGGAGGGAGGAAGGAATAAAGGAGCTGCTGTGTGTCATACCTTCTTCCCAGGGCTGGGAAGACCTTGAGGACCTTCCTGTACTGTGTGCAGGGAAAAGGTAAGGGTGTAGGAAGTCCCCTAGAGAATAAAGAAGTCCACAGACCCAGCCTCCAAACTGAACTAGCACAGGAAACTGACAAAGAGGCAGATGGTTCCTGTTTCTTATCAAGTGCTCAGTGGGATGCTCCACACTGCTCTAAGGCCCAGGAAGGGACCCAAATCCAAGTTTTAGTCATCAGAATGGACTAGCTGAACCCAGGAGCCAGCTCAGGACCACCGAAACTATAGCTCAGAGTGCTGGTGAAAATGGCCAGCAGAGAGGGTCTACCCTGCTCTGAGTTTCTCAAGGCCTACAGCAGCCCCAAAGGGGTATGAGACTCAATTAATAGCTGAGACCGGAACTGATTCCCTAGGCTAGCCTGGAACTCACTTTGTGTCACAGGCTCATCTTGAACTTGTGATCCTCTTCTGCCAACTTCCAAGTGCTAGGATGGCATGTGTGTACCACTGCAGCCAGTGACTGAACAGTGGTGGAACCAACATACAAAATAATAAGCAAACAGCAAAATGTAATGGTTATCTTACACTATGTGGTCAGAAATTTCATCACTAAGGAAGACCCCAGCTCAAGCCTACATCTTCTTGTAGTATAATGTTGAAACACAGGGCATCACTGGAGGAGGGAAAGAGCCACGGTCAGGAACTGAAGACCCACAACAGCTATCTAGGCTCTGATATCCCTTTTGGAGAGCATGGACTGGACTGGCAAAGCAGAGCGTCAAGCCTATAGAGCACTGATGACCATGGCCATGCACAGTAGACACATGTCTCATGACACCAACAGAAACGACTTCTTTAAAAATCACTCTGAGAATATCCAGAGCTGGAGAGATGGCTCAGTGGTTAAGAGCACTGGCTGCTCTTCTAGGGGACCTGGATTCAATTTCCAGTACCCACATGGCAGCTCACAACTGTCTGTAACTCCAGTTCCAGGGGATCTGACACCTTCATACAGACATATGCAGGTGAAACACCAATGCACATAAAATAAAAATAAATAAAGTATTTAAAAAAGAATATCCACCCACATGACCTCTGTAACCCTAACGGCTCTAAGAAAAATATGACTCTCATCTACAAATAAGAGACACCAAGGGCTGGGAGATGTGAAGAATCTTCTTACAGGTCACATGAGAGAGACAGAGAGCGCACAAGAGCAGAAGTGGGGCTTAAGAGTCCAGGCCTTCTGACTCTCAATCCGGGCTCCTGCTTTCTGACTTACAAAGCAAAGATCTGCCCCTTTAAATTGTGCTCCTTAGCTCTCTGTTAGCAGTTCTGTCTGTTTGGAGTCCAGCTAGGGTGTTGTCTGGGGGCAGACAGCTATGTAACATACACATATTGTGTCTACAGGCCCATGGAGAGATTGCCTGCAGGCCCTGGAGGATGGCCACGACACCAGCTCCATCTACCTGGTGAAGCCTGAGAACACCAACCGCCTCATGCAGGTGTGGTGCGACCAGAGACACGACCCTGGGGGTTGGACCGTCATCCAGAGACGCCTAGATGGCTCGGTTAACTTCTTCAGGAACTGGGAGACCTATAAGGTGAGAGCAGTGGGCCTGTACACAGTGTCTACAAGGTGACTGGTCCACTCCACTCCATAAGGACAAAGACAGGACCATTTCTGCAAAGCCATCAGAGTGGTAAGGTCAGGCTCCTCCTTATCTGCTTTTTAGGAGAGAAAGGAGTAGCGACAGCATCTTTCTCCCAGCCAAGGCCTCCAAAAGGTGAACCTGCTGTTAGGGGCCAGAAAGGGCAAGTCCCAGGGCTCTAGGTCCTGGGAAGCTCCCCTAAAAGGCATGTATAGGAAACTGTGACAACTGGGCCCTAATTGCAAGGTCCATTCTCCTTGTAAGGCAAGTGCGAGGGAGTTGCTATACCTCTCACCATGCTCTGAACCAAGAGGGGACACTAAGGATGGCATGAACAACTCAGGTCAAAGGACACCTGTTCTGTGCCAGGAACTGCACAGCGGATTCTTGTGTATTCCCTTAAGGAAGGCATTGCTACAAAGTCACCTTACAGGTGAAAAGGGAGAGTGCCCTGCCATGGCTGACAGCCACAGTGTGGTAAAGCAGTAACTACAGACTCAAGGCCAAAGATGCAACTTCTATCAGCCCCGATGTCTCTGCATGTAGTCCTGCTGGTTCCTTCAGGCTCCTCCATCCTGGCTCTCCCTAGGCAGGAGTGATTCCTTCCTCCAAAGCCTAGCCTCAGGGTCATCTTTGTACTCCTCCACTCTCTCATGGGGATGGTATAACAGAGCAAATGTTTACCCATCCTAGGGAGGTTGGTGAGAGTGCTTGGCTTTGAGAATCACTTAAAAGACTTTGGGGGCCACTGTTCAGCTGATGCCTCAAACCACATATCAAATGAGTAACAAAACCACTGGGTTTTAAACCTAGAAGGACCCAGGTATATGTCACATGCCAGTCACAGCTCTCACCTGTCTATGCTGGGGCTTACACAACCTGTACACACAGCCCATCTCCAGAGAAGGCACCTGAGGCGTAGGAGAAGCCCATCTCCTAGAGGCATATCTAAACAATGCTGGCTGCATGCCTTCCAGGTGCCAGGCTCTCAAATAATCACATCATCCTGCCTTTGAGAAGTTACAGCATTCTCAGGTAAGGACAAGAAACAGTTCACATGATGGACGGGGAAAGGTGTGCTCTTCAGATGTGTGAATGGTACATGATTGATGGTTACCCACTCACAGAGCCTGATATACAGGTAGCAGGGACTGAGCCTAGACCTGCCTTGTGTTCTGACTATTCCTGGGATACAAACTCCTCACTCTTGCTCTCCTGGGTCTTCCCCAGCAAGGGTTTGGGAACATCGATGGCGAATATTGGCTGGGCCTGGAGAACATCTACTGGCTGACAAATCAAGGCAACTACAAACTACTTGTAACCATGGAGGACTGGTCTGGCCGCAAGGTCTTTGCAGAATATGCTAGCTTCCGCCTAGAGCCAGAGAGCGAGTACTATAAGCTGCGGCTGGGGCGCTATCACGGGAACGCAGGAGACTCCTTTACCTGGCACAATGGCAAACAGTTCACCACTCTGGACAGGGATCATGATGTCTACACAGGTAAGAAAAGTAGAGCCAAACCTAGGTGTTGAATGGGGATGAGAAATCCAACAACTTTTGAGCCTCTGCCTCCAGATCCTGGAGCAAAAAGATGCCATGTGACAGATAGTTGTACCAAGCTACCTGACACTGCTTCTCAAAGTCCCATTCTACCACTGCCTTCAGGAAAGTGGCACTTATAAACAGGGAAGACAGAAGAGCCCAGATCTCATGTTGAGGGCTGCCCTGGGCCAAGGTTTTCATGGAAATATCCCTCTTTTACGAAATAACACAGAAGTGATTTGGATGGAATTCAGGCTGGGGAGGACAAGAGAGGCATTCTGTCTTAAACACTTCCCTCATCGTTCTGAAAGACTCTTAGCCAGCTCTTTCAACTCTTAAAAAATTGTTAGAGAGAGCTGTTTTCCCTCTCCCCAGCCCACTGCAGGCCACTTCCACTTTCTCCAGGGCCACTTCTGTGTAGAGCCTAGGCTATGGGTGACACATGGTCCTTATTTATTCTTATGTAGCAGTACTGTTTGGTGGCATTATTCTGTCCTTTTATAGATAAGAACATGGTGGTAGGAGAGGGTGAAGCCACCTCTGCAATCCTACCATTTGCTTGTCCTAAAGCTAAATTACAAAGTCAGGCCAGCCTATGACCCCTACTCAGGGTGCTGTAGAAGACCCTGGGTATACCACAGATGGGGCAAAACCATCTCCTCCTAAACACTCCTCATGCCTTCTCTTCTACAGGAAACTGTGCCCACTATCAGAAGGGAGGATGGTGGTACAATGCCTGTGCTCACTCCAACCTCAATGGGGTCTGGTACCGTGGGGGCCATTACCGGAGCCGATACCAGGATGGAGTCTACTGGGCCGAATTCCGAGGAGGATCTTACTCACTCAAGAAAGTGGTGATGATGATTCGGCCCAACCCCAACACCTTCCACTAAGCTTGCCCCCTTCCTGGCCACCCATGGCCATTGCCAGAAGCCATCAAAGCCGTCCCAGCTGTGCAGACCTCAAGCACAGCTCCTCACCACTTCTCTCAGGCTGGGAGGACAGGATGCTGGACCTTACTTTCCAAATCACTCTGTCAGGTTATGGGCATCAACAGTGTTCTCTGTCCTTCCTGCTCTCTTTCACACCAGCTAGCCTCATATCCCCAGGACAGAGTTAAGTCCCTCCAATAAAAACACAACTGCCAATACCCTCACACATGACAGACATGCATATGAGCCACCACGTGTGTCCCCGTAAGACACATATCACACGTGGGATGACTAGATACCGCATACACTCAACTTCCCCATCATCAGTGCTCAGGTGCTGACAACAGCACCACAGCTTTGGAGAAAGCTTCTTCTCTTGCCTTGTTCTTGAGTCGAAGGGCAGAACAGGCCATGTAGCTGATTTCAAAATACAGCCTTTGGCATTGCCTGGATTCTTTCTGGAATGTCTGCAAGTTCATCTCTCATGTAGGGTTCCTGGCCTTCTTGCTTGGGAACCTCTCTGGGCACCTGATCAACCACTCCCCTTCCACTGTTGTATTTTCCCCTTCTTGGGACGGCCCAGCATCCCTCCATCCCAGCATCCCCTCGGCCTGCACTTTCTGTGCCTTAGTCTCTGGCTGCTCACTGGAGGTCAAGGGTCCTCTTCTCCCTTCTCTGGCCTTTCCCCTTCTGCCACACAGACCTTTATTTCTGGCCCAGTTCATTGGCCGTTGGGGAGGAAATAGTCGGGCTCGGGTTCCAGATGGGAAAGGGAAGGCAAGGCCAAGAGCCACAGCGGCAGTCACATAGACCTGTACTCAACTGTATACCTTCCATTCATACTTTAGCCTCCACATTATTGTAACTTCACACAAACAGTACCCTGCCTTGCCAGAGACACTCGACTGGAGAGAAGTCACTGCCAGTGTGTTGGGACTCCCAGACAGCTGCAGATTTGAGGGCTCACGGGGAATGATATACACCCTGTCCCCAAACTGCACCTCCCAGAAGATGAGGCCATGCAAAGAAAACTAACTACTTTCCATGAGCTGCCATGCCTAAGAGGCTGTTGGTACACTGCAGCATGGTGGCTTCCTGAGTCCTGCTGGGCTTAGAGGTATCACATGACTGCCATGCCAGAAACAAAAGATAAATCAAGAAGGTGAGATACTCCCGGTGGGTATATATGCCAGGTGTGTGAGCTGTGGGCCATTTGGTACTGTCCACAATTGGGTGCATGCCCATTACCTCAGCATTTCTCCCAGTGTACCATGTAGCATGTCCTGTTTGTGTATAAAAGGGAGGAGTTTTTTTTGTTTTTTGCGTTTTTAAAAAATATATTCCCAGACTATCCTTGTAACGACACAAATCTGCAATAAAAGCCTAAGTGCTATGTGGATGCATCCACACTGTGTGTTGCTGTTCTAGAATGGCCTTCCTGGGGCTTCTGTCAGTAAAGCAGACGCTGTAGCATCTAGCACACACAAGGCCATCAAAACCACTCCCTCTACCTGCCCCATCAGGAGTCCCATGCCAGGGACCTCTGGCCAGTGTGGTTCTCTACTAAAAAACCGCTACTTCCAGCTAAATCTCAGGTGCCCAAGAAGCTCCTCACAGGCCAGGCAGCTAACACTAGAGGCTTCTGCGAGCTGTTACTGAGTACTCAACTGAGACTCAGGCCCTCCTTTTCCCAGTCTCCCCTTGGCCAAAGCTGCCCTGCCTGCCAGGTGGAGCCTTCTCAAAGACTAGTGCAGACTACATCTCCCCCGACACTGCTGCAACAGGCTCCCAAGATGCCTGTCTGAGCTGCCTACTTATGAAACAGACTAGAGTGGCCAATTCTAGGTATGATGGGAGCTCTAAAACCATAAAGGAAGAAATCCAGGGCTTATGACCAAGACTGATATCAAACAAGAGAAGCCTCTAGGCTATATATTACTATGTAAGCTAATTGCAAATACAGAATTAATATTGATGTCATACCCAAACGCAGATTCAGAAAGGTATAAGCACTGTGGTGGAAAACATGATTAGATATCACAACTGGACGATAGATTAGAAGGAAAAAAGTCACCCCAATAAGAAAAAAGGAGGTACCCTAAATGAAGGATAAGACAGCACATGCTGTCTTTTGGGTTGGAAAAGATGAAAAAAACCCACACATGTTGATAAGACATGGAAAAATATCTACTTCTGCTCTATGGACAGAAATAAAAGATGACTCAAGACTTAAAGTATAATGGCTTCCACCCTTGGCCTCAGCAGTCTTTAACCACCATGGGAACACTTCTACAAGTTAAACTGGGGTAAGAGTTTGGTGTTTCTTGAAAGCTACAGTGGGCTTAGAAGTGAACTGGTTGCTTTTTTTCATAGGGGGTCAGCATTCCAACTTTACAAAAGAGCAAGTAAAGTCCCAAGAGAAGTCACCAGAAGGCACTGGGTGACAGGCACTGAACATCAGTTCCCATCTCCTGTAGTTGTTGGGGTGGAACAATTTCCAGAGTGGAAGCTGGACATTGTGAAGAAAATGTCCGAACCTTGGTGCAGACACCAGCCACACCTCCCACACATCTGGAGTGGGGGTGGGGAACACAGCTGAGGAAAACAAGGTTCCTCCTTCCTGATCCCTAGTCTTGGGGCCAAATCCCCAGAGAATTCTGGTGTGGAAAGCCAGCCTGAGCAGTGGGAAGCAACCTTTCGCCCACAGCATTTGGGATCCATGGCATCAACTGCTTCTCCCAAACCTCAACCCAGCACTCACATCCAAGTCTGTATGTGTACAGACGTATGCACTATGATGTTGTATGGTGCATGCATGTATATATGTCATGTATGAAGAGGTCAGGGGAGGCTGTCGAGTATCTTCATCTAACTGAATGAAGATCACTGTTTTGTTAGATTACTTGGTCAGTGAGCTCTTGGGATCTGCCTGTCTCCAATCCCCCAACACTGTGGTTACTGGCAAATGTAGTCTTGCCCAGCTTTTACGTTGGGTACTCAGGACTTGAACTCAGGTCCTCTTGCTTTCACAGCAACTGCTCTTACTCACTGAGCCATCTCTCTAGTCCTCAAGCCAAATCTTACACCACACGTTGGAAGGAAGCTTTTAGAGATGCCCAGCCTGTTCTCTCAAGGGAAAACAGGAGGGAGGAGGTCAGCGCACTAGCAGCACTTTAGCCAGGAGATAAGGCTGTGCTCAGGGCCTGGCTCTGAGTGCACATATGCAGCCAGGCAGCATCCTGGGCTCTGACCAGCCAGATGGGGACTTTCCAGACCCACAATCACACAATTTCTGACAGTGCAGAGTTCTTTCTTCTTGGTGGGCTCATCTATATGCAAATATGGATGAAAGGCAAGAAGGTCCACCTTCTTCCTGCTTTCAGCCAGTCCTTGGAACAGCAATGCCACTTGAGTGAGTGGCACTGAGAAGCTCATCCCCCTAGGGCTGCTGTTCTAAGCAAGACTAAAAACAACTTTGGGCTTCTGGATAAAATGGTGGTGTGAACTCACAGGCCCTCAGGCTCTGGATGAAATGGTGGTGTGACCAATGATAGCCTTTGCTGGAGAGGTTGTGAAGAAAGGGGTACACCCATCCATTGCTGGTGGGAATGCAAACTTGTGCAACCACTCTGGAAAGCAGTGTGGAGGTTTCTCAGGAAATTTGGGATCAACCTAC